CCTTCTGCATCATAGCTGAGATATCATTGTCCTTGTCTGTCTAAGCACCCTGGCCTTCTAACATTTCAAATTAACCATTTCCAAACCCCCCCGCCCAATAAAGCATTAATCTAGGCTTATAGAATTCTCAGATTTTCCTAGCTCAAAGTTCCAAACTATTCTACATTCTTTATGCAAAGGAAGTCCAAAGGCCTACAAAGCCATGTGATCAGGTTTTTCAAGGCAATGTCCCCACTCCTGGCACTAATTTTCTGTTTTATTTATTTGTTTTGTTGCTGTGGCCAAATGCAGGATAAGAAGCAACTTAAAGCCTTATCAACTGAGCTGTCCAACTTGTACCTCACAGATTTAACTTACAGTATTAGCTTCACACAGGAATATTATGTGGTCATCAGTCTAAATGTATAAATAAGCTGTATGTCTAAATGATCAAGCATCTGTATATTGATTCTTTCCACTCTTAAGTTTCTGACTGACTTGGTAGAATGGAGAATCCAAAATTTAAAAAAATTTAAAAATATAAAAGGAGCAACTTAAAGGGAAAAGGCTTTATTTATTTGAGAGGATTAGGTCCATTGACTAGGAGAATATGGCAGCAGGAATCTAAGGGTCACAATACCTATATAGTCAGGAAGCAGAGAGCAGACAGAAGTGGGGCCAGACTATAAAACCTCAAAGCCTGTTACAAAACACTCCCTCCAGTAATGTCCCACCCCCTGAAGCTTTTACAACCTTCCAAACAGTGCCACTAGCTGGGACCAGGAGTCAAACATATGCCTCTTCGGGAACATTTTATATTTAAATGTATCTACACTATAACAATGATCCATAAACTTAGGAGTGAAAAGAAATGCTTTGTGCCAAAAAGTAGAGAAAATGTCCAACAGTTCCTAACATGGAAACTTGGTTACTTAATGCTGTTTTACTCGTGGTGCTGGGGATTGAATCCAGGGCTCTGTGCATGCTAGCTAGGCAAGCACCCTACCACCGGGCTACACGCCTGTGCCAGGGTTATGGCTCTGAGTGACAATTTCCTAAGGACTGCTGATCACATATACCCCCCCATCAAAGTAACATTCATATGTAAATGTAAGCCTTTTTGTGTCAGAACACTGTTAACTTGATTGACTCAGGTACATGCTCAAGTAGATTCCCCATGAAATACTTAAACAGAATAAACAGCTCTTGGGCACAAAAATTATGTAACAGTATTATGAGAATTTTTAAGGAAATGATTGCAAGTAATTGTAGTTCCATCTACAGAACCAGTTTTCATAATTGAGACCATTAGAACCAAAGTGTTAGCATGACAAAAGGATTTGAGTCCCCACTGGTTAGCCTCCTATTTGGAAACAGTAGTTAATAGAACAAAATCTGAGAACTGCAAGAAAATGTGCTGCTGCTTGGGCTTCTAACAAGAAGCGATGTGATTGTACTGCAATGTATTTTCTTCAAGGTCACTAAGAAGAGAAGGCTGTTCTCTCAGGGCGCTGGTGTTTCTCTCCTGGGTCTGAGGATGACCATGTTTTTATCATGTCCGCCCTATTGCAAACAGCCATTCTGACATTTTAGGTTAGTCAGTGTATTTGTCTGGGGCTGTTCTCTCATGGGTAACATGATAATCATCCAGTCTTTTCTATCCTCACGAGCTCGTGTCAGTTTCAGACTTTTCCCCCCTTAATTTTGCTTTGATCACCAATCATTTATTTCTAGTCTATTATGTGCCAAGCATTTCACTCATCATTGGAGAGACAATAGCAAACCATGAGACATGGCCTCTGCGCTCCCACTAATAATAATAAAAATGGCAGCAAGTGTATCACTGAAGATATCTGATCTCATGCTGTAACATATAGGGTCCAAAAACATCTCACAGGCAGTTTTATACTTGAGCCTCAATGGAAGGCTGTTAACCGGTTAGGGCAAATCATTTTCATCTTATCGCCTGTATTTTTTTTTTAACTGTGTGTGTATATATGTCTATGTGAGGGGAGGGGTGTGTAATCTGTGCACATGTGAGTGCAGGTGCCTGTGGAAGCCAGAAGAAGTCACTGGATCATCCTTCCCCAAAGCATTGATCTAGGGTTAAGGAATGATATTAGTTCCTTAGTGTTCATTTGCACTACTGTAGCAGGATGCCTAAGCCTGGGTGATTTATAAAGAAAAAAGTTCTTGCTTACAGTGTTAAACTCCAAGTCAAAAGCAGCAGGTTTGTCTGAGGACATGGTCTCTGCTTCAAAGATGATGCCGTGAAGGCTGTGGCCACCGGGGGAGTGCTCTTTCTTAAGCATCAGAAAGACAGTACTGCAAGTTCTTTTCATAGCCCTAATCCACTCATCAGGGCTAAACACCCCCAGGCTCCGGAATGTTTAAGCAGCGACATGGTCACGGAGAAGAAAGCTTTCCTGTCGCATGATGCAGCCAGAGAAGGAAAGTCTAGAATTTGAGGCCTTGGCAATTAAGCTTCTGAGCATTGCCTTAGGCAGGAAGAACACATGTTGGCATTGCTGACTGGAAGTAGAACCAGTAGCTGGAACCTACATCCCATGTAAAAGTGGGTAAGTCACTTAGATCCTTGATGGTCATGGAGGTGCCTGGTCAGCTGTGGAGTAAGCCTTCGTCCTCTGAACTTCTGATTATTTGGGCACATATAGATGAATTAATGATAACTGACGGGTATTTCTGTATAGTCCTTTCATTGCCGTGGCTCTCGACACAGAAACACAGGTTAGCTCTGAGTTAATGCTCCTCCCCTAACATGCCATTAACTGAGACAGAGCCCATAGAATCTACTATTTTAAAATGATACATGTTCATCTTCCCAAATGCCTTTCCCCAAAAACTGTCCTTGTTAAGTAATCAATGTCTTTTCTGCCATCTTAATTGATAGGCTGAACAGACCAATTGCTTATCTGTCTGTCATCTATCTATCTATCTATCTATCTATCTATCTATCTATCTATCTATC